GGGAACTATTAGAAACCACCAACACCAACAACAACAGGGAGTACTGGACGGCTGATTTCATTGTTGTTCGAATCAAGATCTTCTGATCATAAGGCGAACTTGTAGGTCATTATTCAGCGACTGGGATTGGATCCAGTTGACCATGAGTTTTAACCTCTGTCATTTTGCGGTATATAATGCGACTGCTTGTCAATGTTACAGGTGAGTAACTGTCCTCTTGCCTGACTTATTGGACACTCCCTACTGCTGCTCAAGACTTCTCACTAGAATGCTCAAGACTTCTCACTAGAACTCCAGGTAACTAACTTTCTCAGTTGTATAGAGCCAGTCACCTGACCGATAGCTGCTACCTTGACATGGTGGTAGGTCAGGCTTCCACACCGCAATGACACAACAAGCTACACTGGCTGGAACTATTTTTCCTGCAGGTTCTACCATAACAGGAAGATTGTTAGAATAGCGATTAGACTGAAAGCAGTTACCGGTATAGTGTAAGAATTTTTTCTTTACACTATGCTGGGGGTCTGTGGGCGAAGTCGTACTGCTGGGGAACAGGAATGTAACAGCAGTAAGGTGCTTCCCTCGGACGACCAACATGCCAGCCAGCTATGCTGTCTCTCCACTCTTCAGAGGTTGAGGGGATTAGAAAGGGTCGACCCCAGAAATTGTACATCCCGACTTACCCTACGGTGGTCCGTAACCGGCGGTAAGTTTACTAATACGGAACCAAACCAAGAAACCAGTTCATACAGGCCGTGTGTGACCGGTCGGCCTCAAGCAGTTGTCCCTTGGGCTCTGCGGTCACGCAACACTAACCCTCTCTCTGTTTCAGGTACCCGAAGAATCAGGCAACTTCCACGGTGTGGGCAGCCGGGAAGTAACAACCGCCCACACACTTCCAGAAGCACACGAAGCCTTCCTGAGCATCATTCTCCTCTACCCACATCACCTTCATCATCTTATTCCCCTACTACAGTTAGTATTATTCTTCAGGTTAGTGAGACACCTTCACTTCACTCTGTGACCACAAATAACGATGAGACAGAGCCAATCATTGTTAGTTTATTTGCAAGGATTTCATTGGTTACAGGTTTCAGCACGAGCTGACTTTCCTTGGAGAACCATTGGCAAGCGATTGTGTTCTATACATAGTGTGAATTGGCAGAAGCTGTAATTCATGCACAACACTGGGTCGAGTTCCAGTGGCTGAATGGTGGTTTACGAGCTTGCCTTATAATCGGACGATCTTCCCCTCAAAATGCTCTCATGTGGCCCCACAAACACACACACAAACCTTCATAGCCTCTGCCAGCTAAGTGTTATTCCCTGCCTTCCTCTACAGCGGAAGGAATCTTCCCCATAATAATTGAAAGACAGAATATGAACGCCTGACACCTACAACCAGATTGATTGGGGGACATGCTGGTCTACCCAGCGAGGAGAGCTAGAAAACCCTGATTTCAAATCTATGGCTCCAGAATCGTGAATCGAATGATGGAGTATGAACCTGTTTCAGTCACTGGAAACCATGGGAACATAGCTGCTCCTGACGCTGCTCAACTGACTTGTGAATCAGAATTCAAATCAAAGACTAAGAGGACACAGTGGCCTCTTAAAACCACCTCAAAAATATCAATTAAAACATTGATTATTAAACCACTCTTTAAAAAAATGGAATACTTACTTTTTCCTTTTCAGTTCCGATAAGCCGTCGATCATCTCGATGTTTCAATTTTCCAGGAGCTTCACCAACTGGTAGATTTGCATGCAGAACATACAATTTTCCAGAACAATTAGCAGCACGCAGCGCCTCCATACCAGCTTGAATAGCTGGCCCGAGAACTGCATCTGTTGGTTGTCTACTTACAGCACTTTCTGTACAAAACTGTGCAGGTATCATTTCTAAAATACTTGAAATAATATTAGGATCTGGCGGGAGGAGAAATCCTTCAACTGCTGGTACAAATACATCTTCAATATCTGCAACAATATGCATTTGAGGCTTGCCATAATTGTAATAAGCGCTTTCATTTGTTGTTGTTGTTGTACCTTGTTGTGGTGAGTCCTTAGCAGTACCAGCAGCAGAGGCATCGCCTCACGAGGTACTGTGTAAAAATGTAATTGATGGTCATAGGTCACAAAACCGACTCTAAGAGGACTCATTGAAGTATCCTCCGGGTCAAAAGTTTCTCTATAATAATTTTGAAACAAATAAAAATTTTAAGAAATCAGATAGGGATCAGAAATCAAGATCTTGCAGAGATTTAAATCATTATTTTGTAATGTGAATGGATCCCTACAAACCAATACTTGAATATCAATGAGATGCTCACTGGCGACTGGCCCTATTCAGGTAGGTAATAGTTACCTGGGGTTCTAGTGGGAAGTCGTGACCAGTAGGGTACAGCAGGTCGGGTGTGAGGACAAATACTCGCCCCCGAAGATATTGGCTAGCGGTTGCGCTATATCGTGAATTGGCAGAAGTTAGAATTTATGGGCTAGCCATTGGATCGGGTCCCAGTGGCTTAATGGTCCACGAGCCAGCTCGCCTTGTAACCAGAAGGTCCTGGGTTCGAACCCCCTGTAGTGGGTGCGTACTGTTGACGAGTCCCAAACTAGGACGAAACAGATGTCCAGTACTCCCTGACTGGTTTTCCAATGCTTCTCCAACCAATATCAGCTCATGATGAAATCTTGTAACTGATTAAAATCATTATTTTGTCATGTGAATGGATCACAGTTACTGGTTCGATCACAGGCTGACTGACATCAATTAGAGAAATATGCCATCAGTCAAATCCCCGCAAACAAACACTTGACTGAAAATTCATCTGATGCGACTGGCTGTTTACAAAGGAGGTTATCTGAAGTTTTAGTGAGAAGTCGGATCAGAGGATAGATATTCGCCAATGACATTGTCTGTCTGTCTGTTTTCGACATAGAACTTTGCACATATGTGCACCAGTTCAAGTCGCCACACTCCCTCCTTGTAGCACACAAAGCAAGAGAAGAAAGTAGCAGAAATGCATAATAAAGACAGTAAACAGAGGTGTGAGACAAAGGTATAGTAACAACGAAGAACAAAACAGTTTAATTGGAAATCATAAGGAAATCACAAGGAGTGGATGCATCTGCGTCATTGAGAACGAATTTGAGCCATGTCACCAATTGTTTCCAACCATTGGTTTTACTGTCCCGAGGACCCCAACCAATCAGGAAGTTTACACCTTCCTACGTGGCTAGCTTAAATTAACTGTTGTAGATTTCATTGACTGTTGCCATGTTTTCGTTTGACCGCCACTAGCTAGCTCTTTTCCAGACTGACCCTATATCAGCTAACATTGCCCGTTGTCGAGGAAGGCGATGACTAGGCATACGTAGAACATGCCCTATATATCTCAGTCGATGTAATTTCACAGCCTCGTCTAGTGATTTCCCCTCCCTCCTTACGTAACACTCGACGCCTAGCCTCAATATTGCTTATCCTGTTATACCACTTCACATGGGAGATAAAACGCAGGCACCTGTGATCAAAGATAGCTAGCTAGACTGGTTTTTCATGTCCTCCACTCTCAATGACCAGGTCTCACAGCCATAAAGGAGGGCGGAGCGGACTGATAAGCAGTACACACGCCCTTTGGTCGATAGTCGGATATCACGTCTACGCCACTGACTGTCAGTTACGCACTATATGTCACACATCTGCAGAAGTTGGAATTTATGGCCCATTGAATCGAGTTCCACAGTGGCTAAAATGGTCTATGAGCTATGGGTTCGAACCCCAACGGATGTGTACTGCTGAAGTGGAGTCCCAAACTAGGACGACACAATAGCTGTTCAGTACTCCCCAGTGGTTTTCTCTAATAGTTCTCTAACTGATATCCCTCCAAACCAACACTAGAGAATTATAATTAAACATGAAATACAAATACGCAAACAAGCTAAGTGACAAATATAAAACAGTACACTCGCTAAAGACAAAAAGCTGACTAATCATAGTGTCAAACTTAATCACTCCATAGACATCATCATGATTCCTTCTGGTTTGCCATTAAATAATCAACAATGTGAATGTCATGTGACGAGTACTCTCGTACACATTGTAACACTACAATCATGTTCTCTAACGTTGTACGGATAACGTCATGTGATGTATTCATTGTCAGAAGGGTGTCGACTCTGTGGCTCTTAACTGTAAGTTGTATTCTCAATCCTTTACGTTCTAAATGAAAAATAAGGGCTTCAAGTTCTGAAGTTTCGATTTCTTTTCTCGTCATCTCTTCCCACCAACCAACCCCACTCCCGCCTCGTCTTTTTCGAGCCTACTACCGGCTAGATAACGTTCACGACTACATTAGCTGAGAAGTGAATGTAGACCTCCCGTGTCTCCGGCGAGCATTCTATCATTGAACTACAAAAACTTTAAAAAGTAGGAGTCTATTAAATTAAGCAGAGAATCCCCCCCGAGGATGTTCCACTTTCCCGATGTTTTCAACAACTCACTGACGAGATCCAATCTATAAAAAAAATTCAAGTATTGGTTTGTAGGGATTTTGAATGATTCGTTACAGGATTTCATGATGAGCTGACACATCGGTTAGAGAACCATTAGAAAACCAGTCAGAGAGTACTGGACAGCTGTTTCGTCCTGGTTTGGGACTCGTCAACAGTACGCACCCACTGCAGGGGGTTCGAACACAGGACCTTCTGGTTACAAAAAATTCATATGAAACAGACAGTTTATCAACTTCCAAAGTCTTGTTCCACTAAGCAGAAATTGAAATGTCATCCACTCCCTTTCCTCAAGAATCCGGAAATTAGGTACTGAGGAAAGTATTATTGACGAAGGACTGCAAAAATCTGCCACTCAAACTCCTAGATAAGACTATGAAACCAAAGAAAACTACCGAACAAGTCTAGGTCGTCCCCAAAACAATTCGTTTGCTGAATCTCGAATTAAAGCGTGATAATGAAGGGGGAATTCAAGATCTTTTCATGAAACATACTTTGCTGCCAGTCTAGGAATAACATTTTCTTACGCAAGAAACTATTTGGTCAGTGCACATGAAAGACAAGCTGTCACACTCGGCCACATCAACATGCATATACGAGTACACTTGCGCTTGCGCAGCTGAGTACATTGGTCATCTGTCTGTAAAATTCACCTGACGAGAAAAAGGAGAATGTAGGTGCGTGTATACCTCAGTAATAGGACATCTGATGAACTAAGAACATTCAGCTCCATTTGATGAAAAATCTTTCAAAATCCCCATACACAAGATCCGATCAGATCCCTCAAAGAGAGAGAGAGATCAAGACAGCTGAGCACAGCTGAAGAAGCACTGGCGATTCAAAAATTCAAGCCAACTTTATGTATTTAAAAGAAGTACATCCAATCTTTGTCTTTACCCCCCTGGTCATTACATTCAATAACTATTATCCGATTACGCTTCTTATCAAAACTTCTTGTTTATTCTTATTCTTATTATTATTATCATTACGTCTTCAATCCCTTCTCTTACAATCGTCTCCTTAATATCGTTAACTGGACCTTTTCGTGATAATTTTAATCACCACCACAGGGGTTGTCATAGTAATCACCGAGGGAATTAAGTAGGCTAATAGAACAGTCATAAAACGATTACGGAAAGTATTGCTACTCGTCGTCGTCTATCAACGATAACTAACAGTCTCACATATCGAGCTTCAAGCTACCGAAGTTTCATTAACTGTGGTGTATTTTTTAACGGCATAGGGTTGTTAGCCTCACGCACCCCCTCACCCACCCACCCAACCTAACCTTCCTTCTTTTTCGAGGCTACTACCAGCTAAACGAGTTTTACGAGTATAACGGCTGAGAATAAAAGGTGAAACACGTGAATTATTATTATTGTTTCCTTTAATTCCAACAGGAACATAGGGCTTCAGCCGTGCGTCTCCATTGCATTCGGTTCTCTGCTCGAGTCTTCACCTGGCTCCAAGTCTGCCCACACGTTTTCATCTCCTCTTCACATGACCTCCAAATCACCCTTGGATGACCAACTCGCCGCTTCCCTTTCGGGTTCCACTCAAGGGCTTGTCTAGTGATGTCACTTGGTGGTTTCCTAAGAGTATGGCCAATCCATCTACATTTCTTCCTGCCTATTTGTTTCACAATGGGTTCCTGGTTGGTTCGTTCCCAAAGATCCCTGTTTCTGATCTTTTCTGGCCATCTGATCCTGAGTATTGAGCAAAGACAACTAGCTGTTAATGAAGGTCTGTAGTTTGTTTGAGATGCTCTTTATGACGCGCTGGTCAAGTCTCTGATCCGTATAGTAGCACTGACTGACTTCACATTGGAGTTGAAAATCCGGATCTTATTTTTGATGCTGAGTGCTGTTGACCTCCACACAGACTTGAGAGTAGTAAAAGCTTGTCTTGCTTTTCCGATTCTTGCTTTGATATCCTCGTCAGTTCAGCCTGTAGTTGAAACGATGCTTCCAAGGTAGGTAAAAGAGGTTGTTTCTTTCAGGTTCCCTCCATTTATGCTGATCGTTGTCTGTTGTTGTTGTTCTTGTCCAGGAAACTTCATTACCTCTGTTTTCTCTATGTTCACATGAAGTCCCATCTTCTCTGGATGCTTCTTCTGCCAACTTGTTGCTTTTCGCTTGCATATCTTCCAGTTTGTGGGAAATCAGACATTTATCATCGGCGAAGTCCAGATCCTCCAAGTTTTTTGTGTGAGTCCACGTGAATGGTTGGTAAGCAATCCACTATTATGGAATATACACATTTGATCATAGGGAATAATAAAAAGACAGTTGCAGCGAGGAAGAGAATTTTCTTTTCGACAAAGTCACCGTCAGCTAGGCTGTACATTCGTGTATTTGCAATAAATGGGTAGGAAAGTTCCAGAATAATTTCCGGCTAAGTGTCAGATTAATAGAATTAAAATTAGGAATTTAAATGCCATAATAAACAGGGCGACGGATAAAGCTCAGACAAAGTAGCATCATAATTACTGAGAAGATTGACATTGATTGTGCATATTGTGGGCATAGCCGAGGCATTAGCCATCCAAAAGCTCAAACCCACGCTATATATCCAAAAAAAAATACGTTCAACCTTTGTCCCTGCCGTGGCCATCATAAACAGGTAATTCTCCTAATAGTGACTATCCAATTGACTTTCTTATCCAAACTTCCTGTTTATTCATGTCATTTTATTATTTCTACATATTTAATCCCTGATTGCATAAACAATTATTCGTCACATTAGTTATGATCCCACTAGATTTTTTATCCAATCATCCTGTCTATTGTTGTTACTTCTACATTTCTAGGCACTAATTGAACAATATGTCAATTCGTCTCAGTAATTATGATACTACTTTTTTCTGAGCTTTATTCGTCCCCCTGTTTATTATGACATTTTAATTCCTAATTGTAATTTTATTAATCTGACCCTTGACCAGAATTTATTCTGGAACTTCCCTACCCATTTATTATAAATACACGAATGTACAGCCTAGCTGACGGTGACTTTGTCGAAAAGAAAATTTTCTTCCTCGCTGCAACTGTCTTTTTATTCCCTACAATTTACTGTTATGAACCACTAAATCACAATAACTAAATGGTCAACGTATTCACCTTGTCACTTGAAGGGTCTAGTACATCACCAACGAGCTGATTCTTTATGGATGCAATTGAAACCACACACACACACACCGTATGACACTAGTCACAGTGCATACAATGAGCAGTCAAATCTCTATACTAGTTTGGGACTCTTCATCAGTACGCACCCACCGGGATTCAAACCCAGGACCTTCTGGTTACAAGGCGAGCTCGTAGACCATTGAGCCACTGGGACCCGATCCAATGGTCCTTGAATTCTAACTTCTGCCAATTCACAACATAGCGCGACCATTTCGCAATGTCTTCTTCGATGAGTTACTACCTCATCTTCAACTGCTGTACCCTACTGGTCACGGCTTCCCACTAGAACCCCAGGGTAACTGCCTGAATAGGGCCAGTCACTAGTGAGTATCAGATTAATTTTCGACTATTAATACTCGAAAAATCTCTATACCTCAACAATTTTATCCACTCTGAAAAAGCCTTCAACTGCGTTGACTGCAAAGTGATTTGGAGAGTGCTTCACCACTATTACAGAGTGCCAAAAATCTTTATCCACCTCATTCAACAGGTATGTACATATATGGTGATCAGACCACATGTCAAGTGATGTGATCTTTGAAGGGAATACAGGAGTAAGACAGGGCGGCTGTCGACCATCACCGATGATATTCCTAACTATGGTGGATTGGATCGTGAGGCGGACTGCCGGAAGCGAGAAAAAACTCTAGGAAGATTTGGATTTCACGCAAGACTTATATATCTAATGTCACAACACCACATACTCGGTCTACAAGCGAAAGCAAACAAGTTGTAAGCAGAGTCAGGCAGTGAAGAAGGAAATTCAAGGGCGTATAGAGAAAACAGATACGATAGAGTTACCCAACCAAAAATAACAACAAGCATCAATCACTACCAACAGGAAAAATCTGAACAACAGGCAGCACAGCTGATGTAAAAGCCAGTCAAGATCGGAAGGGCAACACAGTCTAGGAATCTACTGAAATAAGCGCAGAGAAAAAGATGCAGATTTTAAACACTAATATCAAGTTAGTCAGTGCTTCGACGAGGCTGTGAAGTTACATCGACTGAGACGGTTAGGACATGTGTTACGCATGTCTTATGTCCAGCCATCACCTTCCTCGACAATCGGCAATGTTAACTGACATAGAATTGGAAACGAAAAGAGCCAGTGGCGGTCAAACCAAAACATGGCTTCATCAGTCAATCAAATCCACAACAGTTAGTTTAGGCCAGCCAGTCACGTAGGGAGGTGTAGACTTCCTGACTGACTGGTTAGGGGTCCTCGGGACGGTAAAAACCACTCATTGTGACTTATAATACCCAATGAAACTATATTCTTCTTCGATATTACTATTCCTTTTGCCTCATATCTCTCTTTGCTGTCTCTATTTTACGTTACTTTTTACTTTCTTCTTCTTTTCTGGCTTTGTGTGCTGAGTGAAGTGTGGCGACTCGAACTGCTGCATATCGGTGCAAAGTTCTACGTTGAAACCAGTCAGTTAGTAGTCAGTCAGTCAGTGTTTCTATATCATCTTTCAGAGACTTGGCGCAGACATTAACGAAAGCATTTGGAACCGGCTTCAGGCTTTCATCAACATATGTCTTCACTGGCTCCATGTTGAAGATCAAATGGTTAGCCAGAAAGAATTGGAAACACGGGACTCCAGCAGACAGTGAATCCGCCCAGCAAAAACAGCCTAATGCAAATGAAACAGGGGTGGATTGAACATGGGATGTGAGTCCGAGAGTGACACACATTGAAGGAGATGTGAGAGCTTATGAGCAAGCAATCTTGGAGCCAGATAAAGACGATAGCAGAAAACAAGATGAAATAGAGATGTGGTGGTGCTACTGAAGTCCTATGATGTTCCACTCGGAACCAAAGAGAATCATAAATAATCAATAAATACCCATAAAAGAATTGTATACACTTACTTCGGTAAAACTGGTAGAATACGTTCTACAAACTTTGAACAAAACAATTGTACGACACCAGAACGTATAGATGATTGAGAAACATCAATGAGAAAGATAACCGCTGGAGGTAAAGGTAGTTGATTATTTTTACAATATTCTGCAGTTGCTAATATTTCATAACTGCCTAAACAAAGTTCAGGTCTTTGGCTGGCGTCTATTCGACGTCCAGTATGATCTAAGTGAGCAAAATATTCTGTGGATACTTCAGTTAAACCATTACACAGTGGGCATTGAAATCGTCGACCTCCATCAATGAAATTCATAAAAGGATTCATATAGGCTTTACAACGTATACACCGAACAGGACCCTATGAGATATAGAAAAGAAAGAAAAAAGACAAGACAAATAAAATAACATTGCTCGGGAGAGAGAAAAAAAACGAGGAAACCAGTCAGGCTTTAGTCCAAGAAGAGGGTACATTGATCATGGTGCATTCACCCTTCGACGGATTCTAGAACATAAGCATATTACTACATATACTGGTGTGCGACACTTGCTATGCTTCTTGACCTGCAGATGTGGTGTTCGACTCCATCGGCCGACATCTGGCAGTGAACGAAGTGCGGAGAGTGTGTCGCGCTAATCAAGTCAGATACCCTACTCGAACTCACATAGCCATATAATAGCTAATTTAGGGTTGTCAATTGATGTGATATCCCCATTTTTTGTTTGATCCCACCACAGACGCACTGATGAAACTGATCTTAACTGGCTTTAGCAGCTTAGGGATTCACTTGTTACTGGACAAAAGTCTTGTTGACTTACAGTATACGGATGATATACTACTCCTCCTAGGTGAAAACGCCTGAACACCTTGAGTGGAAATCCTCGAATGTCTGAAATGAGATAGGCTTCTGTCGAATGCAAGATGATACTGAAGGCTTGGACAACAAAATCAACTCCTAACTTACAAATAGGAAGTGAAGTCATTGTGAAAGTGTTGACTAAATTACCCTGTTTGAGAAGTTGCACCAACCCTAATAATACACTAACGAAATCTCAGTTGACGGATAAAAAATGGCTCGTGTTGGATAGCATTTGCCAACTTACATCCTCTTTCGAGTAGACATGATATCCAGTTATACTGCGCAAAACAGTCCGCCTATTCCTTCTTTATAGCTATGAGACATGGCAACTGGAAGTGGAAGAAACGATGAAAGAGACTAGCTGTCTTTGACCACAGATGTTTGCGTCCTACCTTCTATCTTACATAATTTATTTTTCTCTTTTGATTATAGCTTGAAACCACACCGTATTTTTGGTACAAGTATGGAATTCTCAGCATGTGATATCGGTAGCCCAAATTTAGCAGGCTAACCATTGATATCAGGTGTGCGTCGTCAGGCGATCGAACCCCGCACCATGTGCATGGTCGGCGAGAGTCCTTACCGCTGTGCCACCGACGCACATAATATGTGGTGAGCTACACTGAAGTTAGGCATCGAGTGTTAGCTAAGGAGCGGAAGCTACATACGCATGCTAAACCATCGCCTCCCTCGACAAGCAATGTTAACCGACATAGGATTAGGCTGAAAAAGACTTAGGGTGGTCAAAGCAAAAGCCTGGTCGGGGGTCCTCGAGATTCGAAAAATTAATAGCTGAAGGCTATTGAAGATATGGCTCAAAATCCTTCTGAGTGGCGTAGATGCATTTACTCTTTGAGACCTCCTCCTATATCTATTAAATCTTAAATGTCCTTCTATGCTACCATTCTCTCACATTTCTGCACATTAGATTAATTTTAAATCCCTTTATTTCTCTCTTTTGTCTTTGTTTGCTACATGGAATATGGCGACTTGAACTGCTGTTGCAACTCTGTGCAAACTCCGATGCTGAAACCCAGCCAGAAGTCAGCCAACACCAATTACAATCCTACAATAATCGTGTTTTTGGCCCCAACCCTAAACTTGATTTGCTAAAAATGGACTAAATAAAAAAACTAGGAAAATTGAATTTACAGGTACATTTGCAAAAATCCAAATCAGTATGTCCCTATAAACGACTTAGTACGGTCAAGCGCGGTTGTACCTTGGTCTTCCTCTCGAAACGCCTTCATGTAGTCATGCACCTTCATATCCTCTACCAGGTGAGTCCTATTCACTAACTACACAAGGAGGTGGGGGTTGTTCGTCACAAAAATTGGGTGGGGAGGGAGTGAATACGAAAGCCTAGTGCTAACAAGCGGATTGGTCGACATGCAATTCTACCTAAGGAGGAGAGGCGAAATACCCTGAACTCCAAGTCTATGATGTACATGGGCCTGAGAATCCTAAAAGATAAAAAAGTGGATGAAACTGTTTTGGCTACTGTCAACCTTGGGAATGTAGCTCCCGAAGCTCTTCCACCACTGATTTGTGGATCAAACTTCAATTCAGACGCTCGTAGGAGAGAATGACCCGTTAAGACAGCCACTTGCTTTAGTATAGACGTTCGCGGAGTATCCCAACCCTTGCATAAAGTATGAGACAATTTTGTATATTACTTCTTTTGGTGCTCATTATTATTGTTTCTAGACAAAGCAATAAGAAGACGCAATTTGTCTGAATCGTGTAGTGTTGTATTTGCGTGCAACACATTTCAAACAATCTGATCCCACACGAACTTGTCATAGGAATGTATATATAAATGAAATTAATAAAGAGTTAAGAGGTGGGAAAATAGACTACTTAGGTCAAGTTAAAAGGACAAATTCAAGGTCAAAATAACAATGAAGATCAATCATTAAACCAAATAGCAGAGGTAATAGTACATCTACCCTATTTGGTATCAAAACAAAGTTTAACAAGGAAGATGGTTTAGAGTGATGACGAATTGTTGCTTTGAATGCATAAAGGTGGTTTAAACTTTCTAATTGCTAGCTAGGGATTCCAAAAACTTTAGGATACGCCCTCCACCAAACACGTTTTACAGATAGGTTTAAAAGATTTGTGTATACACCAATTTTATTTCTTGTCTCCTCTGCAATATGTTTCGCGATAGAGGAGCTAGGTATCCTGTTCTCACCATTAATGGGTTCTGAAGATTCTATTTGTTTCTGGAGCCATTTAGTAATATGCGCTGAAGGCCTTACTTGCAGAGATCGATCAGTCTTCCCTATATATGTGTGTCCACACGTACATTCAAATTGGTAAATACAGTGCGGTGTGACATTATTTTCCGCATGTTCAAAGGGTTTAGTTGGATATATTGGCTTCACATTCTCAATTATTATGAAATTAGCTGCATAAAGTCTTTTTGACAGCAGCGTTCAGTCTTTGTTTAGTTATCAAGCTGCTTTGATGTCCCACGTAGGGTAGCTTGATGTACACGTCTTTCTTAGGGGCTAGTTGGAGAGTGGGTCTTGGTGTTTTGACTACTTTATATCTCCTGATGAACTTGTCTGGATAATTGTTATCAACCAGAGGTTGTGTCAATTTTCTTTCTCCTTCATCCAGTGTGTCTTTAGTGCATATTTGTTGGAATCTACTGAAGAAGCACCTTACTAAAGCTCTTTTCTACCGAACAGGGCAAAAACTGTGGTAATTGAGATACAGTCCTAACCAGGTAGGTTTTCTATAAAGGGGACTAATTGTTTTCAATATTATTGTTCCCTTTAGTTCCTAGAGGAACATAAGGCTTCAGCTGCACGTCTCCACTGCGTTCGGTTCTCTGCCAGAGTTTTCACCTTGCTTCACGTCTACCCACATGCTTTCATCTCCTCTTCTCAGCATGACCTCCTCCATGTCACCCTCACACTGACGACCAACTCGCCGCTTCCCGTTCGCATTCCACTCGAGCGATAGCCTGGCTTGTGATGTCGCTTGATGGTTTTCTCAGAGTATGGCCAATTGACCTCCATTTCTCCTTGCATATTTGTTGCACAATCGGTTCCTGCTGGGTGGGTTCGCTCCTAGAAACCGCTGTTGGTGATCTTTTCTGGCCATCTGATCTTGGTGCCCATAATGTACCACATTGGCATTTTTAATCAATAGTTATATATATATATATATACATATATAATGAAACAATTATTAATGTCCGAGTTGAATATACTTTTCAATTATATCTACGCTAGATTAAATGACAGAGCACAAAAACTAAGTAGTACCAAAGAAAATCTAAAACAGGAAGTGATACACATAAAAGAAGCCTTGAAACTTAATAATTACCCGGATAAATTAGTCAGGAAATATGTAAGGAAATGTAAAAATAAAATAAATAATGATAGTAGCGATAGTGATAACAATAATAATGATAATAATAATAATAGTGATGATAATAATAATATTAATGACGACACCAACAATAAGGAATCTAAATCATCAGTAGTAATTCCATACAAGGAAGGAACCTCGGAAGCCTTATGCAGAATTCTTAACAAGGCAGGAATAAAAGTGGCTGGCATTCAAACCAACCACAAACTCAATTAGAAACAAGCTTTGTCGGTTAAAGGATCAATCCTGTGGAGCCTTTAAAACAAAACAATTTAGTTTATCTAATACCCTGCCTGCAATGATTGTCAGGTCAAATACATAGGTCAAACTAGTATAACAGGGACAGTCAGACTAGCTGAACATAAAAACTTAGCAAAATCTAGATTGGTTGATCCGAATAACATAAGGAATCTAGGGAATAATTTAGCTATAGCACTACGCCAAATGCAGGTACACACAACCATACAATAGGATGGGATGGGATAGGATGATAGGTTTAAAATCTAACTGATATAACAGGGTGGAGGGAGAGATTGATAACAGAAGCTCTGTTTATCGAATCACCTGCAAATACGTGTAATAGGAGTGATTCAACACATGTCCACCTAGATATCTGGAAAATTCTACTACATCTACGACAAGTAGGAGAAAACTATGAAACTCAAGTGTCAAAGTCGTGTGATTACATTTGATATGATTATGAACAATGATGAATTGTGTTCGAAACACTGTCATCCAGTAAATAATACTGTTTCACTCACTGTGTGATATATCTAATAAACAAACTAATATGGAATTACTACCACAGTGCCCAATTTTTACACATATATTTATATCTACGCTAGATTATTTGGAATAAACTCAACACATCAACAAGCCTGTAAGCTGTCATTATTTTTGTACTAGAATACAGTTCACTCACCAAATCATATATAGAAACAATATACATAGTATGCAACTGATCACAATATATACACAACAACAACTCACCTGAGGACCCATATCACTTATAACAATATTCATATCATCTCTATGCTGAACAGCGAATGGTGATATTGTCAGTGAAAAGGGAACACCAACAGTCTTCAAGAGATCAGCAGTAGTCGGTACAGAATACAACGAAGATCGGATAAAGCAAGGCGCACATGTGCCTTGATCACGTGAAATAAAGTCTGTGGTAACTAGCGGCGGTAAAACACCTCTTTGTCCGGTATAAAATGGTCCAGTACACTGAGTACGATTACTTTCCATAACCTAAATGATAAATAAATAATTAAAAAAATTCATGTACAATATCATTAAAAAAGACATCTGAATAAATTAGGAAGATTTAACTGTTGTGAACAGCAAAATTTAAATGGGAAGTAAAAAAATACTCAATCGGTACGTTTCATGGTATCACAGGGTGTGTGTGTGTGACCGGTCTCAACCAACTGTCCCCTAAGCTCAGCAATCACGAAATGCTAATTCTCTTCTTATTTCAGGTATCATAAGAAGAAGAAAAATCAATTCCCATGGTGTAAGGGCAGTCGGAAAGTAACAACCATCCACATACCTACGTAAGCACCCAAAGCTCTGTCCGAGCTGACTGATTGACTAACTGATTGGTTTCAACATAGAACTTTGCACCGATATATGCAGCAGTTTGAGTCGCCACACTCCCTCCACGTAGCACACAAAACCAGAAAAGAAGAAGAAAGTAGAAAGAAACGCAAAATAGAGACAGTAAACACAGATATGAAGCAAAAGAATAGTAATATCGAAGAAGAATATAGTTTCATTGGGCATTATAAGTCACAAGGAGTGGTTGCATCTGGGCCAGTCATTGAGAACGATCAATGAGCCAGCCACATCACCAATTGTCTCCAGCCATTGCCATTGGTTTTTACCGTCCCGAGGACCCCCAACCAGTCAGTCAGGAAGTCTACACCTCCCTACGTAACTGTTGTGGATTTCATTGACTGGTGAAACCAGTTTCTGGTTTGACCCCCACTAGCTGCCTCTTTTCCAACCTGATCGACCCTATGTCAGCTAACATTGCCCATCGTCGAGGAAGGCGATGGCTAGACATAACACATGCGTAACACATGTCTTAACCATCTCAATCGATGCAGCTGCTTCACAACCCCTCCTTACCTAGCACTCGACGCCTAACCTCAATATTGCTCACCCTATTATACCACTTCACACGGGAGATAGAACGCAGATACCTCTCTCGGAGCGTCGTGGCATCACATGTGAACACAGATGAATACACAGTGAGTGGAATAAAGACGGACAGACATCGAGAGAGAAACTAATTCTTTAGTGGCTAAGGTAAGATGAACTAAACTAAACTAAACTAAATTAGGTAATGCGTACAGCTTCTAGTCTGGAAATCAGGCATTTTGAAAAGTAAAACCAGCGCGATCAGAATTTCTGCGTTCCACTACACTAACTTTTGAAGGTAGGGTGATATAGTGATTTAAAAATCCTAAGGTTTCATCCGAGTACTATGTAAATCAGTGGATCCCAACCAACCAACCACCCACCTCCGCATTATAAATTACGTTTCTCTTCTCAGTTGATGATGTTATTCACCCTTCACGTCGCTGACTTCATATTAACAGTGTAATTAAAAGATATTTCGAATCCAAAGATGGCATAATATGCTTAAACACAGCTGATGCATAGACGAATCGCAACAAAAAAGAGAGCTAACGGATGGTTTAAAATAGCTCAAAAACAGCAAATCGACCATAAGTTGACGACTATCAGTTTAGTTTTTAGCAACTCCATGAGAATTTTGCATACAAGTGATAAAGAAAGTACCAACTTGTGAGGGATAGATGACAGTGACTATTTAAACCCATTGTCAAAAAAAGTATTACTCTAATCTCCGCCTGTAGTAATTATGTCACTTCTATAGTTTGTCAGCAATCCTTCTCCAAAGATAGAAGGTTCTCTCTAGAGAAGAATACTGAAGACATAAAAGCCTTCTCGTGAGAAACTATCACGAAAACCAGAGCTAGAAAAACAGAAACTCTCAATAGCAAGGGGGCACTTTGAAAACAACTGCATATTACAACAAAGCTTTAGCTAATAATTTTCAAATGGCATGGGCACTTCGAAGAACTTTCAAATGTTTAGACGAGTCTATGTTTAAAGTAATCTAACGAAACATAACAGGACTCATCCAGAATACTGTATACATGCGGCTAGTTCTCGCTTTAAGGAGGCACTTATCTTGGAAAGAGTACAAACAGTAGACAATTGGTGAGCACTATCTCCCACCTTCCTTATGAGAAGAAGATGGAACATTTTAAACCTCTTCCCATTAACATACTGAATGAGGAGAGGTGTCAATTTTGGTATATCACATATATTAAAGGGTAATTTGCGGAGCGACCTTTCTAACTTTTTCTCTCCCTTTAGGATACTTTCGCTAGGTTAACACAAAAAGGTACTTAGAATGCGAACGAATAAAATCCATGTGGAATTAAGATTTTTCACACAGTGGCTAACAATTGGACCTTGATCATATAATATCAGCTCCATTGGTGAACGCTTTCAAAGAGAAATTAGATCTCTAAAAGATAGATATATATATTGCAAGAACTAACACAGCCTACAAGAGCCTATTGTCCTTTATTATCTGAATCTACTACAATAAACGATCGTGATAAAGAAATGTCGAGTTACAATTAAGATCAGAATTAAGTACCGAAAGGCATACATATAGTGATGTTATTGATTATATCAGTATGATCATAGTCAGTGTATAAAAAAATATATATATCCGTGTATGTAGAGCATTCAGCTGACAAGTTCCACCGAAATTTGATGAATTCATTAAATCCTGCTTTATTAACCTTTATTGCTTGTTTTATATTGAGTCTCTATTATATCAGCATGACAACCGGAATTTTCCAATAAACACGTCTTTATGATTTATGAATCAAGTCTACTCTCATTTATCAGGGTGATAGGACCCAGCATAAAATAGTATATCATCCTTTCTCACGAATCGTGTAATTTATCTTGTCATGGAGTTACTATGTAGATCTATCATTTCTCACGTATATTGTGATTTAGTGTGTGTGTGTCTTTTGTCTCACCTTGGTCTTTGTCGGATCACCAAGCAATCAGAATAGACACTTCCAGCCAATGAGAACAGTACATTCCCACGGTTGTGAGTCGACTTTATTATGGTTAATAAAATGTATAAATACGATGTTTTGTTTCTCAAACTATATAGTGTAGAACAGCATAATACAGCATCTCACAAACAGAGGCCAGCCAGTCTTTGTCTTTTGATATTTGCGTGGCTCAGTGAATCGGAAGGTGCAACGGAAAAATTGACGTATTAGCGCGTACCAGTCAAGTTCATTACCGTTATAGGCTAATTAACAGGCACAGACATAAAGTAACAACGGGTCTATTCAGTTCAGTTCACTTATAACACAGGGCCTTGTTAAAAACTCTTAAATTGAGATCTAGATCAACATTCAAGCCAAAATAACTTGAAGGTAGCAATATTGAACTGTTTAAAACAGGAAGATAAAGTGGTATCAGAAGCCCAAACTTCCCTCCCGCATTCGGCCTATGAACTCAAAAGTCAGTGTAAGAGTAAAAAGAGAGCACTGTGACAGAATAATTCCACATTGGATAAGTTTATTCGATATAATACACAGTGATACAGTACTAATAAGTGGGTGGCGTTTCGGGCACAGTTTACTGCTGCCTATAATCATGTCACTTTGTTCACATGGCTTCATAATTTATTTTATATATCATTCTTTTTCCCTTTCCTTTGTTGTTTGTCGCAATTTTCCATGAATCTGGTGAAGGCGTTGCATCAAACAGTAACGGAAACATTAATGGGTGAATAACTCATCACCAGAATTTATCGCAAAAATGTATGAAGACTCGTGGGATGATTAAAACAAACAAAATATGGAATTCAAAGTCTCTATAGTACATCAAATGAACTGTCGTCAAGATTTGACAGAATAGTTCTAAAATATTTGGGCGCCGAGTGAGAAGTAGACATTTGTAAAAAATATATTTGTAAAATCTCAACGAGATTGAAATAAGTAATTCCAACGTTTTGTTCGGCAATCTGGTCCGAACTTCTTCAGGGAAATTAATCGAAATTAACATAACACAGGTTTATGTATAAAAGGAACATCACTTGTTTTTAAAAACTTTGTCCAGTAGGTCCAATAAAGCAGTTCAATCTTCAGAAAGAATACAAAGCAATAAGTCCGACAAGGTGCTTCTACTAAACTCGAATCCTAAACACCATAATTTTGAAAATACGTCTAATCATAAAATTCTAGATACTAACAGTTTGAACAGACATGAAGGCGTGATGTTAGCTGATGCATAGGAAATCCTTATTAATAAATAAAAAATGGATATGTATCACTAATTATTAATACTTGGTCAAAATTCTCGACTGTCCATATCTTCTTATGGAGACGTTAAGAAATGTTTTACAACGGTTTACCCCACACACTCTGTTTAAAGTGCTTAACAAAGGTAGACCAATATTTGTAAGTTCGAGGTCAAATTTTGATCACAGCTCATAAAATTTTGTTTATTATACTTGTTGATGCTTATTGAATGACTCATGATTGGACAAATTTTTAAAAACAAGTGATGTTCCTTTTATATATAAAACCTCTGTTATGTTAATTTCGATTAATTTCCCTGAAGAAGTTCGGACCAGATTGCGGGACAGAGGAAACGTTGGAATTACTCATTTTAATCTCGC